AAACCGTGCTCGATTTGGCTCGCTTGGGTCCGAACGCCACACGCTCTCTAGTTCCCTCTTTCTTCGCTTCATATGGAGGTTCATATGGGGAGACAAGGGCTTTCAGATAGCCTGGAGCTGGGCTATAATGCCTTTTGTTGCATTTTTTACTAACATTTCACTAAAGGACAACTTTTGGATTCAAAAAAACTACAAGCCTGACAATTATGCACTTGATGACACCATAACTAGTACTCTGGATTTTAAGGACAACTAGTATACTAAAACCTTTGCATATTGTGGAACAAAGCTATATATCCAACCAGATAGTCTCCCAGTTTTAAAAGGTAGTACATAGGAATGTAATGATAACTATATGGTTATAATGGGAGGTATGATATATTTATATTTTGAAGTCATATCTAAACTTAGCATATTCCTATGGACTCTGAGTCCACATGAAATTACTTCTGACTCCACAGCACTGGCAGACAGATCTTGATCACTGGAACTGGCTAGTTTAAGAGGACTGCCTAAAGCTGCTGCTCTCTCCTCCTCTTCCTCCTGCAGCACCCAGCCTCTACACATTGTCCCGTTCAAAGACGAGTGCAGAATACAGATACAGTATAGGAAGCTTACAGTAATGAAACCATGCTAGTGTTTTTGCAAAACTGTTGCAGTCTTCTGCTAATGGCTTTACTCTAGAGATGCTCTAATTTTTAAAAATTATATTATGTTGTAATTTTTAGGCTCACCTGGCATTAACAACTAGATTTGTGTGGTGGCATAAATCTGTTAATCCCACCTGGAGCAGATAATTGAATTGACAGAAATCTGACAAATCAACATATAAATTCAATAGATTAAATGGGTAAAGATGCAAACATATAGTTTTAACCACTATTTTGTGAACTGTCTCAAGGCCTGTGTTTATATAGAAATGGAATAAAATAAGCAATAGTTCCCAACAATAGACTTTATACTACTAGCCACATTAGTGACTGTTATGCCTAGCAAACGTGAGCAGGGAAAATCAAGATTACTTCCTGATATCATGAAAGCTGGCAAAGAAAACTATACAAGTAGAGACAGTATATTGTCACTACTAAAGAATGTCTTGCATAAACATGGGTGGGGTGGAGGTGTTTTCCTGTATTTTGATTTTATATATCATATGTTATCAATTATTGTAAAGGATATATTTTATTATTTTAATTGAAAAATACAGAACATAATATGCAATATTACCAGTTAACTTAAACCATGGTTAGTACGTACATTTAGTTCCACAAGCTTTCCTTATCTTATCTTGTTAGTAAATGTATTCCAACTTGTGCTTTGAAAAAAGTCTCGTTGCCTCTTTTTTCATAACATTTTTTAAAAGCATGGAAGCATATTAAAGTGCATAAAATATTCCAGAATCTTTACCTCCTAGTTTCTACTGATAATCATTCTACATATATTCTTTTCCTGGATTTACCTATTCTTATCTTCCGCTTCCCTCAATAGTCTGTAAATCTCAAAAAGCTGACCTCTGTCTCTGGATGACGTGTAATAACAGAAACACAGAAACAAAGACAATCAAATTTAAATGAGAAAGATACAGAATAAAAAGGAAAGAGCACAGGTGGATCATTTATTAATTCTCCAAGAAGTTTACATTAAAAAAACAAATGCTCAAGAGCATCTCATATATATGCACAGAACTGTGTACATTTTCTGGTAGTTCTCTTCACATACCTATCTGAGCCATAGAGTTCCCAAGCCTTTGCGATGCCCATGGCAATCCCTTTGGATGGATTATTAGTCAATAATTTTGAGGCTTCTTTCGTCTTTCCCAAAACATTCAACACAAGCCTGTGATTAGGAGGAACATATAGATATTACAGAATTAAGAATACACAGTTCCAAAGAATGAAGATTCAAACAAAATATTGCAAATCATTGTTTATGAATGACTCTCAAAAATGTTTTAAACCTGGAAAACAGGTAACAGCAGGAACAAATTACTACTCCTAGATGTTTTGCAACAAAAGCCAGAACTCATATATGTTTGATATTATGAAGGAAATTTAAATGCTTTATAGTTAACTATAAATTCCAGGATACCATAGATAAAGCTCCTTCAAACAAAGCAACATGCTATAAATCGGCCACACATCTTCCACAATAGCACTGCACAGGTGCAAATATTAGAACTGGAGCAAAATTCAGTATTTTGAAAAGGTCAGATTTCATTTTTCTTCACAGTATGTAGATCAGAGAGCAATCCTAATACTGCTGATCATGGTGACAAGGGGATTGGTTTCTCTCTGCTAACAGAAGCAAGTGCTGTCATAACAGAAGCTTTCTGCTGTGCCTGTGTGGTCCAAAATCTGCTTCTGGGAGATCTCCCTTCAGCAGTAGCAGAAGGAAGTCCCAAATCTGGAAATCACATGGATGCAGAGGAGCTGGCTTTGCATCTGTTTGAATAAAAAGTGATGTCCATTTAGCCAAACAGAATTAATATTTCCCCCATCCAGTGTCATAAAATGATAGAACTGAATACATAAATCCACAAGGCTAAATATTGTGGTAAAAGGAAATTTCCCCTTCTGCCCTGGCCAGCATAGACAAGCAAGGATAGGAACCAGGCTGTAGATGCATCTGATGCTGCCCAGAGATCCCCATTAAGACTGTTCTGCCAATCCACAAAGTCTTACAAATATTTGGACGCTGTCACATGTCTCAAAAGACAGAGGTGAAAGTAAACATTTCCAATAGATAAGGGACCTGCCTTCATCATTTTACATGGTTCTTTGCATCTCCTATCACAGCAAATCCCATAAGACATTAAGCAGTGGCCAGAATTGGCTTAAAGCAAACTAGAAGGTGCTCCTGGTGAACATATGGACAGTGAAACCCCAATTCTAGTTTACTGGCAGCCTTACCGATGCACTGCAGTGGTTCGAGAGGTGAGACCTCCAAAGCTGGCAGCAATGGTGTTTATTTCAATTTGTTTTAGAGCTGGAGAGCCACCTGTACCATAGTCAAACATGTAATCAGAGCGATTGATTCCTAAAAATACTGTCTGAAGATGACAAAAAGATAGCATAAGGAGTAGCAGCCTTCATTCTAAAAAGAAATAGATTTTATGGTTCTATCAGTGGCAAGACATGAACAGGGCTGTTGGTAACAGGGTGATTTGAAGATTTCTCATTTCTAGGATTACCGTAAGTCAAACTCGATGTGATTGCATAATAGCCCAGGTAGAGCAATAAGAGGGTGGAATGTCTGAATGCCCCTTCTACTTACTAGCTGAAAGCACATGTTCCTTACAAGAATCCCAGCTGCAAAAGCAAGGTGATGCCCCCATCTAGTAAGGTAAAGGCTTTCCCCTGACATTAAGTCCAGTTGTGTCCAAGTCTGGGGGGTAGTACTCATCTCCATTTCTAAGCCGAAGAGCAAGCCTTGTCCATAGAAACCTCCAAAGCCACGTGGCTGGCATGACTGCATGGAGAGACATTACCTTCCTACCGGAGCAGTACCTATAGATCTATTCACATTTGCATGTTTTCAAACTGCTAGGTTGGCAGAAGCTGAGATTAACAGCGGCAACTCACCCCGCTCCGATTCGAATCGGTGACCTTTCGGTCAGCAAGTTCAGCAGCTTAGTGGTCTAACTCACTGCACCATTGGGAGCTCATCTACACTACCATATAATGCAGCGTGAAATTGCATTATATGGCCAGTGTAGACTCATACAATGCTGTTTAACTGCATTATATGAGTCCACACTCACCATATAATGCAGTTTGAAACTACGTTATATGGCAGTGTAGATAGGGCCAATGTTGGAATACTTTTCTCAACAGCCCTAATTAAGGAGTGCTGGGCAATGTGATAATCTCCTCCCTCCTTCTTAAATTCTTAAAATACTTGTAGCTTAACCCTTTTGCTTCACCCTCTGACTCCATTTGAGAGGGAAAGCTAGAATCGGAAGGTAGCATCTTTCAGAGTCTTGATGAATTCTTTTAAAATGTATTTAAGGTTAACTTCTGTCTGGTGATAAAAACTTTAGATTACTGTAACAGCAAAGTTACAGTATCTTCAACATTTCAGGAAATTTTAGAACTCCAAGACTTATTCAACAATTCGTATACCGAGACAGTAGATGGTGGTTGTGAACTATAGAATAATGCAAACTTCCTTCACTGTTCATTGTTTAGTAAGAGGACTTCTCACAATATACCTGAGCCACTCCTTCCTTCAAAACTTGCTTGTAAATATTAAAAAGTTGAGCAGTAAATTCATCCACTTTGACTGTGCTAGGAAAAATAACAAAGGAACAAATATCATAAATAACGTTCAGTCTTGCAATAACTAAGCAAGATAATTATCAAAATGATATTTTATTTAATTATCTGGTGAGATGTAAAGGTTGAAGCAGGTATCAACCAGCATAAAAACTAACATTTCGAAAATCCCTAATTTGCAATCGTCTTTCTCTTCTCAAGGTAGACTCTGCCCTTCTTAAAAGGACTCTAACCCAGACCCATAACAGTTCAACTATGCCTTGGTTTTTGCAGTGCAATTACTTCTGCTTTCAATAATTGTAATGCTCACCATAGTTAATACATTCTAGTGGTCTTTTTTTTTTAGGTGGGCAGAGAAGCCAATATATATTCTGCCAGGTTATCAATGGGTTTTATTTGTCTGTTAACTGTGCTATCTTTTGTTTGTTTCCACGGTCTCATTTTTCTTTCTTGTATTTTGTGTTATTCTTATAAACCACCTCGAGGACACCTATGTAGGAGGTGCACAAAGGCAGTATGTAAATGTCTTTATAAATAAATACTTAAATATAAATAAATAAATAAAAATGATATTTTACCTAATACTTTTTGAAATAATACTTCTTGTCATATCTGAATGTTGGAGTCTCATAAATAATGGCCAGTTGATTTAGCTTTATATCAGTGCTTACATATATATGTAAAAATCAGGCAGACGTTTACAAAAGGACAGCAGAAAAGGCTTGGATGATGGAGGGGGTGAGTTAGCTGTTCTGGCACCTCCTGGGCAATTACTGACTCTTGGGTTGGAGCAGAGGAAAAATAATGCTTAGATCCATCTGGTTATTGTTGTGTGGTATAGAGAAATGTTGGCAGAAGGTAGCAGCTCCTAATACAATGGTTATCTCATCCCCATTTACATCAGTTTCTAGACCCAGGTGGACTTTATTTTGTGAAATTGACTGATTTCCAAATAAATATGACACTAAACGCGTGCACTTACATTGCAGTAGGCAAGTAAAAGCCAGCTTTCATTTTCTAATGTTCTATGTACAAGCTATCATGTGATTTTAATATTTATATTAGGATGTTTTTAAAACTTTGTCTTACTGTTTACATGTTGTATATGCCTATGTTTAATAGTTTTAATAATTTCAATTTATAGTTATGTGTCAGTGTTCAGTTATTGTGATTTTATTTTATTATATGTATGTTGGCATTGAATTCTTGCCATTAATATGTTGTAAACCGCCTTGAGTCCCCCAGGGGTGAGAAAGGTGGTATATAAATAAACTAAATAAATAAGTAAAATAAACAGCCAGATATAACATCAAGTGTAACATATCAGAAGACATTCAGGTATGCAGAGAGTTGTGATAAAACTAGTATTAGTACAAAGAATAATAATATCCATGAATAATGAAAAGTTTTAATTCAAATAGTTAAACAAAAATATTATGTGATACATATACCTTGCAAGAGTGCGTTCCAGAAATTCTGTATCCTGACTAACTCTGTCCACCAGCAGATTAAAATCTTGCTGAACGGAATAGGCTTGCTCAAGCAGATCACTTGGGACTGCAGATGGGAGGAGGGTAAAAGGGGCATAATTCACTGCCTGCCAATAAGAGTGCAGAAAAATCTCATTACTATTCATTCACAAAAATCAAAGTCCACTCGTGAGAACATACAGTATAGGATGAATACAGGGCAGACAGCACTAGCAGAATTATACCTACAGTAAGTTGCTATTTCAGGCAGGAGAGGCTGAAGGAAATGGGACTTCAAGGAAAAAATTAGAGATTTCCAGGGATACCGCAGAACACTGACATCCATGCTGGACCACTTATACACCGTTAGATTATTTCACATGAAAGCAAATGTGGATCTAATCACATTGCCACCAAACACAGTTGATATTACAGTATTGGGATAGAATGAGCAAGATTTCTGTTCAGAGTTCTGTAGAAATTTGGCTTTAATCTCTTAATGTAATGATGTCTTAATGTAATTATATTTAACTGACTAAGTTTAAAATATTTTGTGTGGTCCCATTTATTTTACATTATTTCATATTGTTTCTTACACAGATATTTTCAGTTGTGGATTTTATTGTTATCTGGAGTATATTACACCCTGAAAAGGTAGGGTATAAATATGAACATAATAGATTACAATGGGTGCACATGTTAGGATGTTACAAAGAATTTTAGTTATGTATTGGCTTTATTCGCAGTACTGCAATTTATTCTTGCTGGTAGAGCATTCTGGAGTAATGGCCTGTCTTTCCCATTTTCTGTAAGATCACACCTGAGTGAATATGATTATTGCAAATGATCTTGTGTCACAAAACTTAATTTTGAGCTTACATCAGATGCATTTGGGTCATCTTTGGTTCTCATTAGAACCCCTTCAAGGAGTGCTGCATCCACGGCAATTGGAGCCACATACTGAATAAGCTGGACATTGCGCAAAATGTCTTTCCAAAGAGTAGTCATTGTGAAGACAAAGAAGTTGCAATGCTAAAAATAAAGGGAAGGGCATTATTATTTATCGAGCATATTTCAAGTAGTTATAAGAATATCAATTTTTAGATTGCTTTTTAGGGCACTATCCCCTATGTAAACATACAGCTTTGCCAACCTGGAAACCTAATAATAATAATAATAATAATAATAATAATAACAACAACAACAACTTTATTTGTACCCCGCTACCATCTCCCCAAGGGACTCGGTGCGGCTTACATGAGGCCAAGCCCACAGCACATCAATAAACAAAAGCGATAACAATAATCAATACTAAACAGTTAAAATAAACCTACAGATTTATTGTACTATATCTTCAACCATGCCCACCCAACTTGCTAAACTGGCTAGAAATTATGGGCATTGTAGCTGAGTAAGGGTGAATTGTCAAGATAATGCCTATAACTCTTGCATTTATTTATTCATTTCTGGAGAAGGGTTGCTCCATGTCAGGTTAGGCAGGATAGGAAAATAAAGCGGACACACAGAGAGAGTCCTAATTGTTGTTATCAGAAAAGAACATGCTCCTGTCTGGTTATTCGGCAAACAGAGATAAACCCCAGTGAAAGTGGATCACTCCTCTGTACAATCCTGGAAAAGACAAAGACTGCATTCCACATGAGTAGGCTCAATCAAGGAAATCATCTTCCTGAGCCTACAAGACCTGAGCAGGGTTGTTATGGATAGAGTGACATGGATGATTCTCATTCACAGGGCTGTTATAAGTGGATGATAATACCAGTTTATGCTTCCATACTCTGATACCCTATTTGAGCAGCAACAGACCTTTTATTTACACTTTCACACTCTAAACCCAGCATGCTTACAAATATTTGAGTGGTTTGAATGTCAATTTTGCTTTTATTAGTGTTTTCATACACCAAAGCTTGTGTTCTTGCAAGTATTTGAGCAATCTTTTTTGTATTTTCTTCATCCAGCATTTTGTTTTTATTTGATTGAGCAAGGCCTCTTTTCTGTCCTCATTCATCTCAGTAAGTTTTCTCTTATTTTCTACCAAGTCTCATGATACAGCCATAATAGCAAAGTATATATGCTTTATAAATGTTAAAATAAATTATTGTTATGAGAGAGTGATTTTTGACAAGCTGGCAAGAAAGGAGAAGAAAAACTGAAAGAGGGAGAGAAAGATCAACACAGCTGCCCTGATATTGTTAACTGAGGCTGGCTATAAGGAGCGCACATTTTCTAGGCACAATTTAAATTGCTGAATTTGACCTATGAAGCCTCATATTGCTTGGGTCCAGGTTATCTGAAGGACCTCATTCTCTTTATGAGCCCATTAGAACCCCAAGATTGTCTGAAGAGACATTTCTCTCTGTCCCACTATCTTCTTAAACTAATCTGGTGGGAACAAGAAAGTGAGCTTTCTTGTTGGCTGTCCCAAGGCTTTGTTACGCCATTCCATTATGAGGGTAGTTAATTGCTGACGCTCTCTATCACACCCCTGCCACTTTTGTGCTTTCAAAACACAATTTGCATATATTTTTATCCACATCAATGATGTCATTACCAGCTCTTATTTCCTGTGTCTCACTTCACAATTGGTTCATCTACTTCAAAAAAAGAAATTGCAACTATGATAGTACTGCAATGACACAATAAGATGTACTATGTTTTGATGATACAAAAGCAAAGAAGAACCCTCAGAAATCAGAAAAATGAATTAAGAGGTGTTCAAACATACAAAAAAGGCATCTTCCCTGAAAGAGCACCAGAAGTGATCTGTGGCTTTGCTGCAGAAATTGCCTATGGAATCTTTGCGGAAGAAATAACCACACCTATTCTCATTAATGGATTATTAAAAGAAAGTTTTATGAGAAATCTGCACCCAAAATTGTTATAGATCTGTGGCAGCAAAAAAAAAGTTGTCAATTACTCCACAATGCAATAATACTTGTAGAGCACAAACAACATGCAATAACGGCAAAGTACCAGCAAGAGTAATGAATCACGATAGAGCTGTAATCCTGGCCTCCCTAAGGGTGTAATAGTGCCCTTAGAGAGGTCAGGATCCTTTCTCTCCTTCTGTCAGCAAGTCACAACTTTTTATACTCTCAGCCTTTTACACTCCCAGGCTTTTATGACTGGGTTTGTAATACTATATGGTGCTGTTTTGTAAAAGTTCTATATAGTTTTTAAAACTAATTTTAAAATGAGACATGCCGCATTATCACGGGGTGTCTGCGTCCTACACCACTGGAGAAATTACACTGCTTAGCCGGTATTGCACCACCTGACATCCGCCGGGAAGTAGCAGCCAATAGTGAAAGGACCAAGGCAGAGACATCTCCAGCTCATCCCCTGTTTGGGTATCAGCTAGCACGTCAACGACTTAAATCTAGAAATAGTTTTCTAAGATCTACAGAGACACTCGCTGGAACACCTCAGCAAGCGAGAGTCCAAAAGTGGCAGGCTCAAACCCAGAACCTCGACCAATGGCTGATACCAAATGAGAGACTCCCCCCTGGGCACACAGAAGACTGGGCGACTTGGAAGGCGCTGAACAGACTGCGCTCTGGCACCACGAGATGCAGAGCCAACCTTCAGAAATGGGGCCACAAAGTGGAATCCACGACATGCGAGTGTGGAGAAGAGCAAACCACTGACCACCTGCTGCAATGCACCCTGAGCCCTGCCACATGCACAATGGAGGACCTTCTTGCAGCAACACCAAAAGCACTCCAAGTGGCCAGATACTGGTCAAAGGACATTTAATCAACTACCAAACTCACAAATTTTGTATTTTGTCTGTTTGTTTGCTTTGTTCTGTTAGAAATGTAATATAATTGACTGGTTGCCCTGACACGACAAATAAATAAATAAAACTAATTTTAATAGTTTTCTCTGTAAAAGTTGTTTAATTGCTTTTAAACATTATATTGATACTTTTATTAATGTTTTTGTATACCTTTAATTTGCATTATAGGAGAAAGGTGGAATGTAAACCAAAATCATCACCATCAGTTTATGATTTTGGTTTTCTGCCTTGATCAGTTGTCATTACCTTAACTTCAATGGTTATGGGTTGCTCCTTTAGCCTTCCTGAGAATGCAGCTTACACGCTACTGTTTATTTGTGAGAACAAAGCTGCAAAGCAAATTCCATATGGTCATCAGTTTATCAACTGATGTCCTTTTGTAACAGCTGCCTGGCTATGTCTGTATAACCTGCATCCAGCAGTCAATAATGTTAGGGTGAGCTGCCAGAATGAAATGAGACATTTATGTTTGCACATCTTACACAAGCTAGCAGTCACATGCAAGAGAGATGATGTAATATGGATACAGGCATCTAATTGTCTCAAAGTAGTCAGTCAGATTCCAATTATTTTCAATGTAGTTCTAAAGAAACATGGCAGTTATACCTCTTGGGTAGGACTGCGGTTCATTAGCAATGCGGCATGACTATAAAGTATGTTAATGTGCCAAAAAAAATAGAATAATTAATCCCTCAGGGCATAAGTCTTGACAAAGTATATCGGAACACCACTCGCCTTCTTCCAACAGATGCTATACAAACTGCAATGTGAAAAAACATATCTGCAACAGTCACAGTGCATTTCAAAATGTTCAACTATTTGACTGAGGAGCTTTCCAGACAGGCCCTATATCCCAGGATATGATCCCAGGTTTTCTGTTTATCCTAGATTATCTGGCATTGCGGACTCATATAATCCAATTTAAAGCAGAAAACCTGAGATCCTGGGATATAGAGCTAGTCTGGAAGGGCCCTGAGCGTGCTAGAGCAATTCCTAGGCCACTTCCCTTTCTTGTTACAAAAAAGAAAAAGCAGTAGCTTTTTCCAAATACACACTACACATCTGGGGTAGGGGGAATCCACATTTCTTTCCAAAGGATGTTGGGTGAAATATAAATATTTGTGTGCATTCCTTTAATAAATGCTTCCTGTGTCCAATAAAGAGTTCCAAAAATTATACTGTTTGAATTGAGGATATTCTTATGAATTTGGACATAAACAATGTGACTAGAGAACACATTTAAGATTCCCTTGGAAACAGTAAAGCTTCTGCGTGCTTTGAACCACTCAAACAAAACAAAGTGAAGGATTTAAGAGAAATCTGCACCCAAAATCTGCACCCAACATTGTTATTTCTCAATTACTCCACAATGCAATAACGCCAGTAGAATACCAACAACAATGCAATAACGCCAAAGTAGCAGCAAGAGTAATGAATCACTATAGAGCTGTAATGCCAGGGTGTAACAATGCTCCTAGAAATACCCTTAGGGAGGCCAGGATCCTTTCTCTCCTGTCAGCATGTCACAACTTTTAAATACCTTTTAATACTCTCAGGTTTTTACAAGTTGACTAGAATTGAGCTCGTAATACAGTATGGTGGTGTTTTGTAAGTGTTTAGAATTTGGACATAGAATCATAGAGTTGGAAGAGACCTCATGGGCCATCCAGTCCAATCCCCTGCCAAGAAGCAGGAATATTGCATTCAAATCACCCCTGACAGATGGCCATCCAGCCTCTGTTTAAAAGCTTCCAAAGAAGGAGCCTCCACCACACTCCGGGCCAGAGAGTTCCACTGCTGAACGGCTCTCACAGTCAGGAAGTTCTTCCTAATGTTCAGATGGAATCTCCTCTCTTGTAGTTTGAAGCCATTGTTCCCGTCCTAGTCTCCAGGGCAGCAGAAAACAAGCTTGCTCCCTCCTCCCTATGACTTCCCCTCACATATTTATACATGGCCCTCATCATGTCTCCTCTCAGCCTTCTCTTCTGCAGGCTAAACATGCCCAGCTCTTTAAGCCGCTCCTCATAGGGCTTGTTCTCCAGAACCTTGATCATTTTAGTCACCCTCCTCTGACACATTCCAGCTTGTCAACATCTCTCTTCCATTGTGGTGCCCAGAATTGGACACAATATTCCAGGTGTGGTCTAACCAAGGCAGAATAGAGAGATAGCATGACTTCCCTGGATCTAGGCACTATATTCCTATTTAAATAAATAAATATGTGAGAGGAAGTCACAGGGAGGAGGGAGCAAGCTTGTTTTCTGCTTCCTCGGACACTAGGACGCGGAGCAATGGCTTCAAACTACATCTGAACATGAGGAAGAACTTCCTGACTGTGAGAGCCGTTCAGCAGTGGAACTCTCTCCCCGGAGTGTGGTGGAGGCTCCTTCTTTGGAAGCTTTTAAACAGAGGCTGGATGGCCATCTGTCAGGGGTGATTTGAATGCAATATTCCTGCTTCTTGGCAGGGGGTTGGACTGGATGGCCCATGAGGTCTCTTCCAACTCTTTGATTCTATGATTCTATGAATATGCATGCCCAGTGTGGAACAATCCCATTGACTTTTTTAGCTACCGCATCACATTGTTGGCTCATGTTTAACTTCTTGTCCTCAAGGACTCCAAGGCCTTTTTCACACGTACTGCTGTCGAGCCAGGCATCCCCCTTTTTGTACCACAACTGGGCCCAAACTGTAGCTGTGGAACTCCTTCATGTACCACAATGAGAAATTAGGAGAGCAAAGACACAGAAACGTTTTCAATGAGCCTCCGTTTTCTCTTGGAATGATTTCTGGAATCTACTTGGCTTGGGAATTTCTGGCAAAGGCAAGACGGAGGGCCCTTTCACACAGCCCTACATCCCAGAAGATCAAGGCAGAAAATCCCACCAGAGAACATATTTAAGATTCCCTTGGAAACAGTAGGGCTTCTGTGCGCTTTGAACCACTCAAACAAAACACAGTGAAGGATTTAAGGTTGAAGAAGAAAAATAGTCTCAAGTGTCAGATAGAAGGAAGTAAATGCTGAGTAATCAATCATTATGCAACTAGCCTCTCCTAAGGGCACAGGATTTCTCTGAGGAAAGGGAGGAGGGCATTTTTAGACCAGATCCCACTAGGATTTTGACAGCTTAGTCCTCCCAAGGTGCATCTACACTGTAGAACAGGCATGGGCACACTTGGGCCTTCTCTCCAAGTGTTTTGGACTTCAACTCCCACCATTCCTAACAGCCTCAGGCCCCTTCCTTAAGCGGCTGAGGGGGGAAAGGAAAGGGCCTGAGGCTGTTAGGAATGGTGGGAGTTGAAGTCCAAAACACTTGGAGAGAAGGCCCAAGTGTGCCCATGCCTGCTCCCAGTTTGTCAGGGAAGCACTCTACTCTCTCTCCTTTCCTCTTGTAAGAGCCCAGCTGCCCTTAAACCCGCCGAGGACTCTTGCAATACCTCCTTCCCCCTCCCTCCATGTTAAAATACCTGGTTACCTGGAGCCTCTCAAGCCAAACTCCCCAACCGTGAAGGCGCTGCACTTCAGGAACCTCAGAATCAGGTACCTTCTCACAGATTGGCCACTCCGCCTGCCTATCAACGGAAGGAGGCGGTCCTCTGCGGTTGATTGACAAACGCCTCACGCAATCGAATTCGGGAAGTGCAGTAGGTGGCCAATAGGACTTCTCGCAACGTCATTCCGGCCCGCCTCCGGTCAATCTATAAAGATTGACTTACCTGGGAGTCGGGCGCCATTTTTGAATGTGACGTGCTCAGCCTCTGGAGGCAGAGGGGGAAGTTTGCACAAGTCATATTTAACCCTCGCTTGACTTGGGAAGAGTTGGGGAAGGGCCTATATCTGGATGATGTCACCCGCCTCTTTAATTCAATGAGGGAAACGGTGTACCCACTAATTGGGACAAAGGCCAGTCATAGAGGTGCCATGACGTCACTCAGCAGCTCTGTAAGCTTCTGTGACGTCACTCCTGCTACCCCAAGGCAGTCAACTTTTGGGGGGAAATGGAGGAGGAGCTACCACAACCTGCAGGGTGAAGGCCTCAGGGTGAGGAAGGGGGCGCTGGGAGGAGACAGTATTGCTTCACACTGTTGGCTAAGATCCGCCTTATAGCTTCTATTCCAGGC